TTTTTCTTTTTTTGTCACATGCCTTTTTGTTTCTCTAGTCTTTTATGGTTTTACATTAAGTATATATTACAATAAATGAATATTTACTAATACAACATTTTAATTTAATTATTTTTTTCATGTTTTCAAATGTTATTACCTTAATGATTATCATAAATTATATTTTCTTCCCATTTATTTATTAATTTTACATCTCGATCACAGCTCCCTCCCTCCTCTCCTCCCAGTCCTATCCTCCCACTCTTTCCCCCCTTTTCTTCCTCCCCTTCTCCTCAAGAAAGGTGAGGCCCCCTACCAACCCACCCTGGCACATCAGGTCATGTCATGACTAAGCACATCCTCTTTCACTGAGGCCAAACAAGGCAGCCCGCCTAGATGAAAGTGATCCAAAAGCAAGCAACAGAGTCCATGTCAGAGACAGCAACTCAACTTGCTAAAGGACCCTCCTGAACACCAAGCTGCCCATCAGCTACATACGTGTAGGGAGCCTAGGTCCCAGCCCATTCTTGTTCTGTGGTTGGTGGTTTATTCTCTGTAAACCCCCATGGGCTAGGTTAGTTTACTTTATTGGTCTTCTTGTGGAGTTCTTGCCCCCTTTCAGGTCCCTCTGTTCTTCACCCAACTCTTCCACAAGGCTCATGGAACTGCACTTAATATAAATTATCTCATCAAAACATACTTCTAATTTATAGTCTTAGTTTCAGTAAGATAAAGAAATGTTTCTTCTATATAATTCCTTTCCTTCCAGCCTTTTAAATGTTATTTATATGAACAGTTTGTTAAAAACCTAGCAACATATTATAATTACTTTACATAATCTTTTCCTTTAAAGAAACTGTATAAAGGAGAGAGCAAGTAATAAATCTTTATATTTATAGGGTATTTATAATCTTATTTGGAATTTCTAGCTCTCTTCATTCTCAAGATCTAAGTTCCTAGCTCTCAGAATTCCTCTCCATCTTCCTCCCTTGTTTGGTTATTGTCAAATATATTACATTTCTTATACCGCATACCTAATCATTCATTTATATACATGTTAGCCTACTTACTTAGTTAAGAGGAAAAACTATTCTACTTTCTAATTACTTTCACTCTGTGTGTGTATGTGTGTGTTAATACCTACCTAAGATCTGTTGTAAACCTAAAGAATTTGATTATTTCTTATAAGCATATCTGGTGTCTGTGAAGTATTTTTGTTGTTTGTTTCTTTGTTTGATCTGGGAATTCTTTATTTCTGCATTTTTGAAAGATAATTTTGCTGGATATACTTTTAGTTTGGTTTTGGTTTTTCCATCATTAAGACTATCTTATTGTAAAGGCATTGATTCTGCTGAGAAGTCAGCTGTGACTCTTACTTGAAGCTCCTTGTTTAATGATCTTTGGCTTTGAGAACTTCCTCTGTCTTTGACCTTCAGTATTTACACTCATATATCTAGATACTGGTCCTTTGTGACAGTTTATTGTACTTAGAATTGGTTCATTTTCTTGAATGTGTCAATGTCTCTCATCAAATTTGAGGAATTATTAGCCATCATGCTTTGGAACATTTTTCTAGTCTTTACTATCTTTACTTTACTATCTTTACTTTTACTATCTTTACTTTTGCCCTGAGTTGTATATGTTAGTATATCCACGCTTATTTTTCTCTCAGTTCTTCAGAATGTATATAGTTTTTATGTATATAGTTTTTGATAGCTTCAAGTTCACTCATTTTTATATAGGTGCATGTCTGCTCTTGAGCCCTATGGTGAAATAATGTATTGCAGCTTTTTATTCTTCAACTGTAGGATTTTTCTTTTTTATATTCTTTGTCTTCTTGCTAGCATTTTTTGATGATGAAACATTGGCATACCTTTTTTTCCATTCTTTAGGCAGGATTTCCTTTAGTTGAGTATCTTTTTAATGTCTTCTTTGATTTCTTCACCTGCTAAATCTTAGTATCTGAACCCTTGTTGTCTGTTCTTTTGCTATGTATGCATCACATCTTATTTCTTGGCTTGTACTATGATGCCAGGCATTAACAGCCAGGCATTTTAGATAAATAATAAAGAAACTCTGGATCCTGATCCTCATCCTTTATTCCCAAACTAGCTTCTTGGTTGTATATTTGCTTAGCAACTTAGCAATATTAGGGTAGTTTAAAAAAAGGAAGATTAGGGTACTAAAGAGACTGTTGCTCTGCCATGGTGCCCTTGATATTACTCCTCAAAAGGCATAGCCTTGGGCTATAAGTGACAGGTTTATTTGTTTGTTCTTTCTCTCTTTCCTTTCTTTCTCTCTCCTTCCTTTTCTTTCTTTCCTTCTTTCTTTCTCTCTATGGCTCTCCTCTATTGCCTCTTTGCCTGATATGTTAGGTTCCTAGCTAATACATCTCTCTATTGTCATCACACCCATTGTTATTAGCCTTAGGACATTTGTAGTTTTGGGGGTGGGGTATTTGTTTGGTTGTTATTTATTTGGGGGTGTTGGTTGGTTGGTTTTTGTTTTGTTTTGCTCATGGCCTCTGAAGTCTGATCTTATTAAAGCCAAGCCCTTTTAGGGGTAATCTTTGAACTAGTCCTTAAGGAATTCACTGACCCCAGGAAGACACTTAACTGTCTCTCCGACTGCTTCATCAGCTATGAATTATCAGCCTACTCTTAAAATTGCTTATCAACAAAACTTTTGTTCCCAGTAGCACTTTTGGCTTAAATTTTCCCATCTCTGTTTCAAACAAATGTATCTATCACACCTTAGGGGCATTTGGTAAATTAGAAAAACTTGAGCAAAATTTTTCAAAGACTCCTGGTGCATAAAAAATACAAGGAAGTTTATGGTCTAACTGAGGTATCTAATAGGAGACCATTCAAAATACTTCTGGAACCCCAAAGGGCTTTAATTGTTAGAATGAATGAACTTAGAAATTTACAAAGAAAAATACCTACGTCAAAACTTAGTGTTGGGCTGGAGAGATGGCTCAGAGGTTAAGAGAACTGTCTGTTCTTCCAGAGGTGCTGAGTTCAATTCCCAGCAACCATGTGGATGGCTCATAACCATAATGAGATCTGGTGCCCTCTTCTGGCATGCTGGTGTACATGCAGATAGAGTACTATATACATAAAATAAATACATCTTTAAAAAAACAAAACTTAGTGCTATAGGTATTTCCCTCTGAGAATGTCGAGTAGTAAGCAGGCGCTCGCATAAACTTTACATAGGGGATCAAAAGCCACTTGAAAAGGTCTCTGCTATGTCTTTTCCTCTAGTACTTTGTGTAGTCAAATGGACATCATCCCTGAAGAGATCCATCTTCCACCCAGACCTCAAAGATCTCCAGAAATAACTTTTTTAATTTTATTTTTTTCACAATTTATTTATATGTCCCGACTGAAGCCCCCTCCCTCAACTTTTCCTAGTCCCACTCTCCCTCCCTTTTTCCCCTATCCCCTTCCCCTAGTCCACTGAAAGGGGAAGTCCTCCTCCTCTGCCATCTGTCCATAGCTTATCAAGTCTCATCAGGAGAGCCTGGATCCTCTTCCTCTCTAGCCTAGTAAGGCCGCATCGCCAGGGGCAAGTGATCAAAGAGCAGGCAACCGAGTTCATGACAGAGGCAGCCCCTGCTCTCCTTACTTGGAAACCCACATGGAGACTGAGCTGCCAGCTGACCGCTTCTGAGCAGTGAGTCAGGTCCTCTGCATGCATGGTCCTTGGTTGGTGCATCAGTCTCTGCAGGACCCCCTGGGCTCAGATTTTTTAGCTTTGTTGGTCTCCTTGTGGGGCTCCTGTCCTCTCCATGTTCTTTTATCCCCCCCAACCCAGAAAAAGAAAGACAGGCATGGCATACACTCACTTATAAGTGGATATTAGCTGTATAATCTAGGATAGCCATACTAAAATCTACTAATCATACTAAGATCTAAAGAAGCTAAATACTAAGGAGGACCCTAGGGAGGATGCTTAAATCTCATTCAGAATGGCAAACAGAATAGACACCAGAAGCTGTGTTAATAGAGGAAACAGGATGGGAGCCTACAATAGATGTTCTCTAAAAGACTCCACCCAACAGGGGATTGAAGCAGATGCTGAGACCCACAGCCAAACTTTGGGCAGAGTGCAGAGAGTCTTACAAAAATAATTTTTCAATAGTATTAAAGCTCACATTAAGAAATCATTACAGTTAAACCAAGGACCAAGAGTAGGAACCTGAGGGCAGGAAGTATGACTCAGTCGTTACGAGTCATATTTATGCTCCAGCATGAGGACTGGGCTTCAAATATCATTACCCATGTTAGGTGGCTCACAAATGCCTGTAACTCCAGCTACAATGACCCCAACTCCCTCTTCTGGTCTCTACAAGTACCAACAAACATATACACATATACTTTCACAAGCATATAAATAGTTAAGCAGTAAAAATCTTCGAAAAACTAAATAGCAGAGTCAGAGTTGGACAATGTATTTAGATCAATCCAAGGCCTTTGTTATTAGAACATTAACAGAAAGGAAGTAAAGCTAACATGTTTATAGAAAGGATTTGAAACTTAGAAAAGCAACTGATTATTGAAATGACCATAACCAATGCTTCTAGAAATGCAAACTGTAATGTATCATCCAATGACTATACATCTAAGAGCATTTGAGATACAGCTAAAGAAAGTTTGGTGAGGAAAGTAGTTCAACATATAAATTTGAGCAAGAGTCTCCTACAGTGGGATTAACAGCAGATAACATAGACTTGCAGAGTTGTCGTTCAGATGTTCCCCTCGGGAAGCAGCAAGGAGCACACTCACTCTGCTGACAAGACAAGTAGAGGTGGGCTCTTGCGGGGCGAGGGCTAAAATAAGGTTCTGCTCACCATGTCATCTCTTCAGTTACCAACTCTAAGTACCAAGGGGCCTGAGTCCAGTCCCATTTGTCTTTTACAGAAAAACTTTAAGGAAAAAAAAACACAGGTGCCTAAGTGACAACATCCCAATTGGCTTTCATTTTGTGCTTTCTCTCTCCATTTCTCTCTTTTTCAGTGGCTGCTTCAACCCCCAATTCTACTGCTGGTGCAGCCATGAATTCCTTGACCTCTCTTGGGACTCTGCAAGGATTGGCTGGAGCCACTGTCGGACTGAATAATATTAATGCACTAGCAGGTACCATAAACAGTGAGTATTTGCTGCTCTGGTGGACAGCCTTCCCCTAAATTCTCCAGAAACAGTCAGCCAGAATTGACTAAAAAAGGATCTAAAATGGGGAGAACTAAAACTTGGGATGGAGGAGCACATGGTTCAATAGGCAAAATTCCCGCCCCGACTTTATCTCAAAATAAACCAACCACAGCCCACCCCAGCTTCTTTTCAATGTGCAGCATAAGTTCAAATCCTTAGATGGCTGTGGTTTGACAGATAGAACCTGAAATCCAGAAGTTTGATTTGGTGTTGGTTTTCTCAGTCCTGCTGCAAGGCAGGGTATTCTAATAGAAAAGTTAATGGAGTAGAAGCTGGGAAGCATGTGCCAGCTCTACTGCCAGTCAGCTGTAAGAGCTCTGGCAGCTCAGCTCCCTCGCTGGCCTACAGTCTCCACTCGAAAACTGAAAATTCTGGGTCCAGTGATATCAAAGGTATCCTGCAGCCTGAAAAATCAAAGATCCCAGACAAGTGTAGGAGCAAAACCTAGTCATTGGAAAGCCGGAAATAAGCTTGAGTGGCAAGGAGGTATTGCTAGAAAGAGAAGTGTCTTCATTAAGTACCCAGAGTTATGCTTGCCTCACAGTAGAGACTGCTGTGACAGGCAACACAGGATCTGGACAAATAGCTTACCAAATGACACTTGATTCATTTAGAGAGAACACTAGCCCTGCCCCACGCAGCCACCTGCTGATACTTACATGCATGTGGGACAGTGCTCAGGCCTGAGGATGAGTCACACTCAAGGACAGAGTGTGGGCTTCTGCACTAGGGAAACTAGCCTCATCCACAGGGAGGACATCTAACTTGCCCGTCTATCTATTTGGTCACCCTAGTTACCCAGGAGGTCCATAACATCCAACACAGTTTCTGCTCTGTGGACCTTGTCTGCCAGATGACGCAAGCAATGGAACACTGCCTGCTTACATTTTTAATAAATGAGTCCTGGCCATTTACCTCACTTTAAGTTCTGAGTCAGTAAGTACTGAACGGTTTTACTGAGTGGTCACTATCATAATTATTTTAAAGCAAAAATCCTAATTTACATTTAAAAGTTCAAAGTAATAATTTGAAAAAAAAAATGTGATCAGTAAGATGGCTTGGCGCAGGTGAGGGTGCTTGCCGCCAAAGCTGATGAACTGAGTTCAACCCCTGAGGGACTCACCTGCTAGAAGAGGACACACTTGTACAAGCTGTCCTCTGACCTCCACAGCATTCTTTTCTCCCTCTCTCTGCCTCTCTCTCACACACTAAACAAATGTAGCAAAAAGTTTAAAGAGTCTAAAATGATTCTGCATAATTATTAACTTGTATAAACCTGGTAATAAAACAGTACTTTAATAAGTAGATAATCTTCCAGTTTAAGTCTTTCTTTTAGATGCTGTAGGGAGAAACCCCCCCCCCAAAAAAAAAAAAAAAAAAAAAACACAACTGAGTTTTATCTGACCCTAAAGAAAAAAAAGTTTCTTTTCATGTGTCATAGCTCTTAATTGCCATATAGTACATGGACTGGTAAACTTGTGAGAGCCAGAATGTTTTATTCCAGTTAAAACTGCCTCCAGCTTTTACATTTTTCAACAGCCACCTAGGAGCCTCGAGGCCTGAGTCCTGTCCGGTGCAGCTCCTCTTTTTGACCTTGTCCACAGCAGTGCCGGCCCACTTGCCCTTCACCTGGGTTTCGGGGGTGCGCATACATCCCTCATGCTGCTTCTCTTGCCCCAGGGCCTAGTTCCCCTCAAACAAGGACTTTGATCTGATCGCCAGCCTGTCCTTGGTCTGCAGAGTAACAGGCCAGTGGGAATGGTTGTCCTCCTCAGCACGTGCTCATGACTGCTGTGTGTCCTCTCGTCCGTGTCCTGTGCACCTGCTTTGTTTTGTGTTGCTGGGATTTTCCCATCTTTATTGTGAGGACCCAAGGGGGACTTTGTTGAATGAGAAACCACAGCTTGTCCTTGTGTGGGGTGATATGTTACACAAAGTTTGCTCTGGCAAGGACAACAGTTGAATAAATTGAGTTGCTATTTTTCATTCTTTGTAAGTGGGCTAATAGGAATATGCATAGTTCCTGACAAGTTAGGAAAGAATGCTCTTAATTTCATATATCCCTACCTACCAGTCAGTGTGAACCAGGAACAAAATGCGTAATTAAACAAAAGTGATACACAAATGGAAACATATTCCTTCTTGATTACTAAGTGTTAAGTGCAAACATCTAAACACCTCAGCATCAACCTAGAAGGAGTATTTACTGCTTGTCTCATTGAATATTAAGGAAAACCCTCAAACAGGTCTTTCACTTGCTTGGTTAGTGTCATCCCAAGGTACTTTACTGCTAGGTATATACCCAAAGTTTGCTCAAGTACACAAAAGGGATATTTTCTCAACCATATTTATAGCAGCATTATTTGTAATAGCCAGAACCTGGAAACAACCCAGATGTCCATCAACGGAGGAATGGGTACAGAAGTTGTGGTATTTTTACACAATGGAATACTACTCAGCAATCAAAAAGGAGGAAATCATGAAATTTGCAGGCAAATGGTGGGATCTAGAAAAGATCATCCTGAGTGAAATATCCCAGAAGGAGAAAGACAAACACGGTATATACTCACTTATATAGACCTATAAGATATGATAAACATAATGAAATCTATACACCTAAAAAAGATAATCAAGAGAGCGAACATGGGGTAAGATGATCAATCCTCGTTTAGAAAGACAGATGGGATGCGCATTGAACATATGACAGGAGTCTACTGAGCGCATTTGAAAGACTCTAAATAGCAGTGTTTTCAAAGCAAAGACTCATGACCAAACCTTTGGCAGAGTACAGGGAATCATAAGAAAAAAGGGGAGTTAGTCTGATGAGGAAAGGATAGGAGCTCCACAAGGACCAAATATATCTGGGCACAGGATCTTTTCTGAGACTAACATGCAACCAAGGACCATGTATGAATGTAACCTAGAACCTCTGCTCAGATGTAGCCTGTGGTAGCTCAGTAACCAATTGGCTTCCCATAGTGAGGGGAACAAGGACTATTTCTAACAGGAACTCAATGACTGGCTCTTTGGCCTCCCCACCCCCCAAGGGAGGAGCAGTCCTGTTAGGCCACAGAGGAGGACTTTGCAGCCAGTCCTGAAGATACCTGATAAAACAGGATCAGATGAATGGGGAGGAGGTCCCCCCTATCAGTGGACTTGGCAAGGGGCACGGTGGAGATGAGGGAGGGAGAGAGGGACTGGGAGGGAATGAGGGATCAGGACACGGCTGGGATACAGAGTTAATAAAATGTAACTGATAAGAAAAAAATAAAATTAAAAAAAAAAAAGGAAAACCCTTTTAAGGTGGAATCTCTCTAATTCAGTCTTTTTCAAAGGAAATGATATCACCTGTTGAAGATAAATCTCTTAAAGTAATCAAGAAGTACTTTTCTGGACAGTCAGCTCCTAAGACACTTGCATATTGTGTCCAGCTGTGTCCCAGGAATGGTTATTGTATGGTGTGATGGCTACAATAATGAGAGGATTCTGGTGTTCTGAGTAGAACCAACTATTGTTCATGATCAAAGCATCCAGAAAGAAAATAGGTAGATGGCACATCTTAGCCTAGACTTGGTGCTCTTCCCTGCTAGAAGGCAAGCCCCTCTCTAAAAGGGTTCATAGATAAGTTGCTTGGTTAAACTGTTTGAAAAACCTTTTCCTTCCTTTACCTTACATATTAATGAGTGAAGCTTAAAAAAAAGAAAAAGTACAGCCCTCTAAAGATAAAGCCAGAGACCAACAAGATAAAAAGAACATGACTTATTTGGGGCTCACATCTAGCTAGTTTGAAGATTTTATAGTTGTGTTTTATGTATTAATATCTAAATTAGGATAAAAATCCTTTGTGCAGATATATCTACCCAAGAGCCTTTCTCTGATTAGTTATTTCTAAATGTAAATGAAATGCATCTTTTTTTTTTGTTTAAATTGTGTAATTCCCCCACATGGTTAAACATATTGTTCATAAAACTATGACTCTTTTACTGTAATGAGTCAAAATCCTTGTTGAAGAGTGATTTTGAAGTTCTTTTCTGTGGATAACGGAAGAGAGGACTTAGGCCTATTACCCTAGCCTATACTGCTCCTTATTTACATTGTGGATTATTGTCTTCATCCCTCTGCTGGAAGTTTGTAAAGATGAATGCCATTTCATACCAGAGCACAACCCAAACACCTTTGCAACTGTGATCTTACCAACACAGATCTTACCTAATTCCAGGTGCTTTCCCCTGATCCTCGTTTATTGGCTTGTAGCTTAGCAGGCTACATGTCATCTATTCAAAGGAAAACTTACCCCAGTCAGGGGGTCATCAACCTGTTCTAATGCATTCCTTACTTTCCTCTCTTTTTATGTGATCTGTATCACCTGCAAGAGCGGCTGGCAAATGAATGTAGTCTGCTTATCGTACCCTCCTTCTTGTTCTGCCTAGTACCATCTCCACAGTGCTAACAAGAATAATTGTTCATATGTGTGGCTGTGGCTGCCATTTTAACTAATTTAGGTCTGTAAATGAAGACCTCTGAAGAGTAATTAAATGTAAAAGACTTAGTAGTCAGGTGACATACGAACTATACTATCAGGCCAACTACCCAGACCTCCCTTACAGAGGTTTGTCACACCTGTCATTTTATCCAGGTTTTTGTTTGTTTTTGTTTTTGTCCAAATAGCATGCATGAGAACGTAGATGAATAGGGAAAATAATTGATCCATTCAGCTTTCTAAAAAAAAAAAAAAAAAAAAAAAAGCCTTAGTCTTGTAAATGTACATATTTTATTCAACTAAACTTTCTTCAAACCTCTACTACTATTGTCCAAGGCTTTTAGAGGTAATCAGATACTGACAGCTGAACTGATTAGAAGAGCACAGGTAATAAGAATTGCTCTCAAAAGTTGACCTCCTCCTCTGACAGCTCTACACACACTCCCATGCGCTCCTTTACCTGTTAATCCTTGAATTTGGTTAGCCCATATCATTTTCCAGGATAGTATAAACATTCTCAATGCATCTGTGTTTGAAAGAACTTTTTCATCCCTCCTATTCTTCATTCAAAAGATTTATGTCATAGAAGAGGGAAGCTTTCCCACAAGTCTCTACACAAGCTTCTGACCGATCCCCCCACACCTTGTCATTTATACGTCATCTACTTCATGCCTCCCTGTAACCGTCCCCAAGCACATAAGGCTAGGAGTTGTCTTCCCCACACATAGCAGCAGAAGCAAGCAGAGCTTCTGGAAAGTAAGTGTTGGTTGGAGTATAGTAGAAGAATACAAGCAGACATGGCAAAATACTACCCAGAATAATGAGGACTAAGCTGGACTGTTGTTTGGTGAAATTGCAGGCTTCCTACATACTCTATTTGGTCCTGAAACCTCCTTCCAATATTCTGAGAGGATGAAGTTCATTCTGTATCTGTTTAAGGTAGAAAATGACAAAATGGGAGACTTTAGAGGTACAACCCTCCAGGTATGGGGCTTATGTGACAAGCTGTGGTAGAGTGTCTGGTAGCTGTGGAGCTATTCATTAGAGCGAAGCTTAGGCCTCAGCATATCCGTGTCAGGCAGCTGGGTTACCCACGGTTCCAAAGGCTTCTGTGCACACAGGAAACCACACGCTCTGGGGCAGAGGGCAAGTCACAGTCCTTCCGGAAGTCTATCCTATAATGCAATTGAATTCACACCTGATGGCCTGCATTTCTAATGCCTGTTGTGTTACTCAAAGAAGCACTCCAATGGTTTCAAGTTGTCTGACACACTCCTTTAGCCCTCTCAGAAGGATCACACACTTACTGAGCAGTAAGTATAAAACATAACCAAAAGGGAAAAAGAAAATTACTCTTCAGTCCTTTGGCAGCCACAACAATAGGGATGAGTGGGAAGAAAAGACACAGAAAGGGAAATGTGATTAGCTACTGTCGAGGGGTCACTGGGGTGATTAAGAGGACAAATGTTCTCTAAACTCGTTCACTGCGCTTTTTCTGACAGCATAGAGGAGAACAGGCTTCCTTGTAATAAGAACCCAGTGCAGGTGCAGTGGGCCCTCTTCTGACCAGCACCTCTTAGCTGACTTCTTCTGTGCCTGCTGAGTGACTTGAAATGACTTCCTTTCTCCAAGGACTAGTATTTCATTATTGAGGTCTACAGACTTTTCCTTTCCCGGCTTCTGTGAAGACACTGTTGTACCGCTCCTCAAGGCCTCGTTCAGTCTCCTTAAGCCCCGCAATAGAAAACCCAGACCCAAAGCACTAGGAGAGTCCTCCACTCCTAAGTCATGGTTAACTTCGTAGCTCGCGTGTTTTCCTTTTAGTCTGAGAGATGAAGTTGTCCAACTAACATAAGCACAAATGGTGTGAACAGGACGTCTCCCCTGCCTGTCCTCCTTGAGGGCTGTGGGTAACGCTAACGAGACTGTTAACTGCTTCTGGTACTTGATTTCTCAGATTTTGCAAGCGTCTCATAGTGACTATCCTCCATTGCCATCAAGATTAGCATTATTTCTAGTAAATTCTTACTCGGAAACAGATCTTTTTTTTTTTAAGCCTTTTTAATCAAAAAGGAAACCAAAGGCAATTGTGTTGTTGCTAACTCCATTTCCTGAGTTCATATGAAAGTTCATACTCCATGAAGCATTGTTTGTTTTGACTCTGTGTTGAAGGAAAATGTCACAGTCAGCAGCCAGAATAGAACAGCCTGGGTACAAGAACAAAATCACAAACCAGTCTACATTCACATCCCCCACGCTGCTGCCAGAATCCAGCTTATAGACCGTGTCCCTCCAGTTCACTAGGAAACATTGACACTGCTTGCTGTGAGTTGTGTGCTCACACACACACACACACACACACACACACACACACACACACATCTTTTGTAGTAGCTTGAGGTGTCCTGCTCAATTCTGAGCCAGCTGGGTTACATATTCCTGAGGCCCCAGTCCCTCCCAACATCCCTTGACTGTTTAGAAAAGAAGACCCACCTGCTCCGCCACTTCCTCATCACCCAGCTTGAGTGTGAAGGTTTCTCTGCCGCCAGGCTTCCCAGACCACCCATGGCCTAAGAGCCTGGTCAGTGGACAGCAGCGCACGTATATGATAGGCCTCAGCCACTGAGCTTTGGTTTGCGTTGGCTTTGGGCTTGCCTTTACATGCTTCTAAGATCTAAGAAGCAGAGGCATCTATTTCAAAAAGACCCCAGTGGTACTTGCCAGCAGCACACTGCATGGAATGGCTCTGTCTGACTACGGCACCTCACTGGCGAAGGGGGGGAGGGTGGTCATTGCTTAATTCTTTTTTTCTCCACATCACTGTGATTTATTTCTTCATATGTGTCATGTTTTGTTTTCTGTTGGTTTAACTGGTGTGTGAGCTGCATGCACTTGCTGTTGTACTGTGTCAAATGATTCTCTGACTTCCTTTGGAAAGCACTAATGAATAAGTGCTATTTCTCTTCTCTATTGTTGGGTTTTTTGTAAAGTTGCTCAAATGCTCTCAGGTATGGCGGCTCTGAATGGAGGACTTGGCGCCACAGGCTTGACGAATGGCACGGCTGGCACCATGGACGCCCTCACCCAGGCCTACTCAGGAATTCAGCAGTATGCGGCAGCTGCACTGCCCACTTTGTACAGCCAGAGCCTGCTGCAACAGCAGAGTGCCGCAGGCAGCCAGAAGGAAGGTAGGTGTCCACCTGCACCCAGCGCCTGGCGGGGCCAGCCAGACCTGCGGTTGCCTTGAGAGCATGACTAGGAGGTGCTGGCTTGAACCAATGCCGTAAGGGAGATCACCCGCCTAATTTCTAGTATTCATGTTAAAAAAAAGTCTCAAGCAAGCCCTTTTTCAGTCTTCTGTCCATCTTTTCTTTTTCTTTTTTTTTTTTTCAGTTTTTCACTTACCCCTGAAGAAGTTCTCATCCATCAGCTGTTTACAGAAAATTATTTACTAGTTGCTACCATCAAAAATGCCTAGAACTTCCTCTCCCTGGTTAGCACGAGCACGCGGTCTCTCTCCTCACTGGGAGGGTACCATTTGCGTCAGGCTGGTGTGAGGGAAGACCTCCTCTGAATTCCCCATGGTCTTGGTGTCCGCATCCCTTGAAGTTGTGTAGGTGCCTCTCACAAGGAATAGTTCTGACTAATCCTGGAACCCACGGCTAGAACTGACTTAGTTAGTCTATAGGGGAGGGTGTCTTCTGAGAAAGAAGGAAGTGATGGATTTCCTGGAGTACTAAGTACTAAGACTAAATTAAAGCTAATTATAAAACAGTTAATTGCCTACTCCAAAAAAAAAAAAAAGGTATTTTATCCTTCTTCCTTTTGATTCTTTTGTTTTATTGGTTGGTTTGTTGACATAGGGTCTCATCTGTAGCCCAGGCTGCCCTTGAATTTGTGCCAGTCTCACTGGCCCCGCCTCCTGGCCACTCTTACAGTGGTACACTACCACACGCAACTGTTCTAATTTCTTTACTGACTGAACCTGCTTTAGAGAAGTCAGCAGTGTGCTGTTTTCTTTCTGACTTATTCAGAATATGGAAAAAGGTAAATCAGAGAAGAGTTTCTTTGTTTTTATTTTTCTTTCCCTTTTATCCTCACTCCATAGTTATAAACTGCTTTTGCTTGGATATTAATGTAAAGAATCTGGTAATCTAAGCGATATCATAGTTTTACTCTGCAAAGTTAGGAGTTTTTAAGGAGCTACAATTAAAAGTGTGAAAAAAGTAGAAAATAAATTTTCCTTTGACAAAGAGCATAGAGATCTTGAGAAAAAGAAAAGAATAAACGAAACCTAAGTCACTTCTCATTATTTCAACCCTCCTTCCCTTTCCTCTCAGCTATGACATGTTTCATGGGTTTTCAAGCATGCGTAGCTGCTTGGACAACTGTGTCTCACTTGGTATTTGGAAGGGACCCAACTTTATGAATATCACAGGTCTCCCCTAAGAAAGCCTGTCTTTGTTTAGTCCCTGTAGGGTCTGAGAGTCACTGTGAGAAATAAGTGCCATAGGAGGTAACCTGGAAGATGACCAAGCTAAGTCTCCTAAGTGGCTCCAGAGAATGCTGGTTCTCTCCATTACCCTCATGGCTTTACAGGACAATATAACTTTTGTCACCCAGACCTAACTGCCACCAAAAGGTTAAAAAAAAAAATCAGTTAAAGTCTGGGCCATGTAAGAACATTTTTCTGAATGACTTCACCTCAGCCCACTGCCATAAGCTGCTTGTCTTTGACTAAGGACCAGAAGTCATGATTGCCAAGCCCTAACTCCAATTTAGGGATGTTGGCTATCAGTGATATGCATTAGGGCTCTTTATTTTTGGCACTAGCCATAGCTTTTGGTTTGTTCATTTCATTGGTTTGGTTTGCTTGTATCTTTCTCTAGCCCTGTCTCTTGCCTTCTCATACCTCTCTCATGATCACCTTCTCATCGGTTAATCTAGGTCAAGAATATCATCTATCTATCATTAGTTTAAGTAAAATGTAATTTAAAATACAAACTATAGCAAGAAGGGGGAAGACAGGTGTACTACTCGGCAGATTTTCCGATTCCCTAACTTACAGCTCTGTCCTTGTACCGACCTTCAGTTGGAGCTGAAATGTTCCCTGAAGTATGTAGTCATGGACTCTTTTCACCACAGGAAAAATGAGCCATTTAGACTTGGCAAAGAAATTATTTAAATTAATTCTTCCATAGCTAAATTTTGTGAAGGACTGTGGCATTCCAACAGAGGTAAATATCAGGAAATTCTGCCACCTTTCATGCCATTGTGAACCTCCTCTGGCCACTCTCATACATCCCCATCTCTCTCCCTTTACAGGAGGCAAGTTTTATACCCACAAGCCATTGGGGCCCCCAACTGGCACTGTTACTTTAGTGTAGTTTTGTTCTGACAGATAGATGCCTCAAGATTTTGTGCTACCCTGGGCACCCTGTAAGAAATACACAACAACCAGCCTGTAGGGACCAGTAATGTAGCACAACTGCCAGTGGAGGTGTGCTAGGAGAAAATGCACAGACAAAGGGTGAGTTCTGAACAGGATTCCGTGTGTGTGTGTGTGTGTGTGTGTGTGTGTGTGTGTGTGTGTGTGTG